TATAGAGTTTGCACTGCAGAATATACTAGAGAACAATATAGTAATATAAAAACATAAGGTATTTAAAAAATTAGTTACTAACTAACTAATTTACATTGATTACGAATTTATATATCCATATTAAAAAGAAATTTTATTATTTATTAATTGAAGCAACTTGGACTTATACATTTATTAGTTGTGAAATTTCTTTATATTGCTTTAAAAAAATATTACAGGTTTAATGAACAGATATGAATAATGAAATTGAGAGTAGTTGGATAGGTCAGTTGCAATTCAGAATCCATAGAGAGTAAACGTGTGTACGAGTATCGTGAGTAAGACAGGTAAACACAATTAGATATATTTCATCGATCATTTTTACCCTCTGCTATACTATTGTTCAATAAATATTTGATATGTTCATTTAAGTATAATATCCACGACTATCAAAAGTCACCTTTATTTCGATTTATAGAGGTCGCGTCAAAATGGAAGAGGATAAACAAATTTTTCAGTAGATGTCTTGGAGTTAAAGATAATGACTTCGATCCTTCATAACCTATACCTACAATTTCTTTATTATAATTAGCTTTCAGACGTGTAATATCCAAACAATTCATCAGATCTTCTAGCCGAGTGATTAGTACGTTAATTTTCTACAAACCGGCGTTAGACTTTCCGTTTGCGCCCAGCTGATCTTCTGGGGCCGTCAAGTGGGCCTAAACGGAATAGCAAGCAAAATAGGCCGGGCGTTTAACGTGTTAAATGAGTCGCTTTGTTAAATTGATTAACTCCACAAAACTGAAAATCAGAAATTTATTTCAAACATGAAAGGTTGGACACCACTGAAGTACGTTGGACTTAAAATTTTGGAAACTTCGAAAAGTGGAGCTAATATTAACGCTTTGCACTAGATAGGTGACCTTCAGCCGCTATTTACAAAGATTACAAAGATTGACTTTAATTAATTTATGGCAAAAAGTCTTCGAGTTCGAATTGCTATTCTTTGTAACGAAGAAATCGCCGAGTGCAAAGGGTTAAGCTTCAACCTATGAAGGTCTCAGACAAGTTTTAACTCCGTAAAACCGAAAATCAGAAATTTATTTGAAACATGAAAGATTGGACACCAATGAAGTACCTTGGACTTAAAATTTTGGAAATTTCACAAAGTGAAACTAATATTAACACTTTGCACTCGACAGGTGACCCTCAGTCGCCAATTAATCAAATTACAAAGATTGACGTTAATTAATACATCAAATTTAAAACGATACAGCGATGCCTGAAATGTCGAAGTAAAATAATTCTATAAAACATTTCTAAGGAAATTTGTATAAGATTTCTTATGTACCGTTTTAAAAATATCCTCCACTTTATGGCAAAAAGTCTTCGAATTGCTATTCTTTGTAACGAAAAATGTAAAAAATTGCCGAGTGCAAAGGGTTAAGCTTCAGCCTATGAAGGGCTGAAACAAGTCGGTTCTAAATGCAACACTGCAGCGTGATGTCCTCTAGACATCAGAGCAGGTGACCCCTAACTTTTGAGAGACAGTGTAGCAGCACCCGAGCGTATCGTGGGTCATGCGCCCTAGCGCGAGCTGGGACAGTTTTATGTATAGAAAGATTTGAGGAATCGACGATAAAAGCTGACAGAGAATTCATTCATACGTCCCACCCTCCGACTCGTGCAACCAGCGGGGTCTCATGAGCCAGCGTTTCCCGATCCTCCCGAGTGTGGCGCTCCTGACTTAGCTCCTCTCATTGTGCCTTCTACGAACCGCTTAATTCGGTGTCGGTTAGGATAGTGGTTTTTTAGAAACCGTAGTCTTATTGCGCTTCGAACTGCCTCCTTTGTTCAAGTTAGGCCTGTTCTGAAGACTGCTCGCTGGGTCAGGCTTCGTTCAACTTGAAGTCTAAATTATGTGCTGTATTATAGTTATATGTATACCGTTTAAGGCGCGTTTTCATTGATTTTGAAACGAAGGATAGGTGGAGAAGGAAATTGCAATATTTTTATAAGTAAAAAATCTTTATTTTCGCAATTTTATCTTTTTTCTGCATTTTATTTTTTGCGTTATTTTTCTTCCTTCTATCTGGATGTTCTATCGGGGATAAGTGTTTATGGAAATAGAAAAATAATAGTAATAATAATGTTTATGGAAAAATAGTAATATCATAGTTGACGTTGAGATAATTTTTGTTTTAAAATAATTAAATTATACGGTTATTTATATTCACGAGTATTAGCATTCTGGGGAACAGTGAATGGAAGAAAATTTGTTGTATGTGCTGAAAAGAGGATGCAATCGACATGGACCAACTGTTTGCGATAAAATATTTCTCATAATACGATTTCGAGAAATATATTAATTTTCTGTTTTTCATAATAATACGATGAAACAAATTATACTTAATTGGTTGAATATTGTATAAATAGGAAATAAGAAATAAGTATTTACTTATTATAATACAAAGCTACGAAATTTAAAATATGCTTAAAAACTCGTTACAAAAATTTTAATCGAAAAAATTCGAATAAAATTATAAAATTGAAGAATCTTATTCATTAAGAGGAATATATTACGAAACAATCTGATATTCTAGCAGAATATTATAATATAGAGTGGGATTATAGGAAGTTGGTGAAATGAATTTTTAAAAATTCCAAACGAGATAATAACTCTTAATTTTTACGACTTCCTGTAAGTTTTCTCACTTTTTCATGGATGTCCTAAGGCTCATGAGCGGAAGTGTGTGTGATAAGTTGATGTTCATGACCTTGAATGATAAAAAGCATGTTTATCCGAAGAAAATAAAACGATGTAACGTTTATGTAAGAGTACAAATATGTATGTATATGTTAAAATTCAGAATGTTATCTTTCGTAAATCTTCAGACGACTATATCAGAGTAATTTTGTGCATAGGTATTTATTATCTGAATTATAGGTGATGACTAAAAGTAGTTTATTTTAAATATTTTTATTGCATATCAGATAGTGCATTTAATTTCATTGATAAATTTATTATTTATAATTTCATCGTGTTTCTTAAAAACTACTTAACGAGTTAAAATTATTGATTAAATGTACTTAATGCTCATTCGTTATTAATCAATTTGATTAACAAAAATAATACAACGATAAAATGAAAATAAAGATTTATAAAAATTGGAAACAATTCAATTTTATTATTGATCGTTTATGAAAATAAAATATAAATAATGACAAATCATTGATTAAAATTGCATTTCCAGTATAAGTGTTTAGATTAAAATTAAAAATTAAAAATTAAGAAGTTTTCGACGATATTGAAAAATTTTATTTGTTTCATTTTTCGTTTAACTTCGATAAAAACGTTTGATTAGGATCTATATTTATACTTTTTATTTTGTTAAGAATTTAATGCTTTAAGCAAATATCACTGCGTATTGTTGATTATTAAATAAGAATTGTTTTGTTGGAGAAAATTACATATATCTTCCCTTGATTGTATTGCAAAACAATTCAGTGATAATATTTATCTATTTTGCATAATGTACAATTATTTCATTCAAAGATTATTATGCAATTTGCAACTTTTATTTTATCAAAGATTATTAAATAATTAAAGATTTTCATTCAGTGTAAACGTTATTGAAATCTTTTTCTGTTTTTAAAAAAATTTTTTAAATTATTAAGCAGTTTAGAATTTTTATCTGATTCAAAAGTTACTAGATAATTTTATTCAATTTCTATTTTATTAAGAAGCTACCTAGAATTTTTATTTTATTAAACCTTATTTAAACCTAGAATTTTTATTTTATTCAAAATTTTGTACAAAAATTTATAGAAAATAAAAAATTACTAAAGTATTTCTAATAACTGTTATATTCCAAAAAATTAATATTCTGGTTAAAAATCACTAAGCAATGTAAAATTTAATTCCATTTGAAAGTTATTAAGAAATACTATATAATATATAATATAATTCAAAAGCCACTAAATAAGTTTTATTTTTTATTCTATTCAAAAGTAATGACTTTGGGATCTAGTGGCCTAAAGATAGAGATAACCTAAACTTCCTTAATTATTAAACGATTAAAAAACTAGAGGACTAAAAATTTGTACCGAATTCAAAAATTATCAGAGAAGCCAAAATTTTTACTCCTGAATATTTATTTAAATCGTATAAAATCCAAAAGAATTACATTCCGCGAAGCGATTAATGCTCCACATACGCATATAAAGCAATAAACAGCTCACCTCGGATACCTACCAATTCTGCCGATATCTCGCAGTCTTTCAAAGAGCCTTATAAATCCTGCAATTATCAAAAAGTAAATAATTCCCGTAACGGGAGTCGAATTCCTCGATACATCTTAATTAAACAACAAAAAGAACACGCCAAGGTCAAAAGCAACACTAACCTCCTTGAGCAGTTCGTTACTCAAACAATCACCCCAAAACAAAAGAAGGAACAAGCGCGCATCAAAACGACTAAAATAACTCTGCTCGGCAAATATTGCCACGGCGAGTGTGGGAAAAGAAGAAAATAAAAGTGGGAAAGATAAATACAAGGAAAGGGTAGATAATGTCCGATTAAAGGTGCAGTTTTTTGATGGCCAATTACTCTTACAGATAGAAGCCTGAGCTCCCTCGACCCTTGCCTTTTTTCTCTTCCTTCTTCGTCCCCACTCCGCTGCCCGCTCCCCACCCCTCCTCCTCAGACTTCGGGCTCGAGTCGGACGATCTTAGCCGAATCTTTACGATCCGCGCTTTAGGGTACGCGCTCGTCGATTGTAATCGCCACGGAACACGCCCTGGAATTAATCGTGATAAAATTAATAGCGTCCCATTACGAGACGCGTGTACCGTGTAGTGGGTATATGACGGGTCCAGTGAGTCGAATACAAAGAAAATGACGAAAATACAGGGGAATGGGAGGGGAAAGAAAAAACGTAGGAAACGAAAAATATTCGTTACGAACGACGAATGAGATTTATTTGACACGGTGTAATTTATAACGTCGATCGTTTCAGATTATCCTTTCCCTCGGGACATTCGTCGTTCTCGGCCTACACGATGATCTACCTTACGGTAAGTTCCTCTTTTTCGCTCCCCTCTTTCCTTCGAATTTATGGTTATGTTACACTCACCCGATTCCGTAATCGATTCTTCTTTCTCCTACGGCGGGATATTCAAACGGAGGAATGTCCGTGTAACAGTCGATTGTAGGGAATAGATGCTTTTTATTTTTATCCTTAGTTTCCTTCTTTTTTCTTCCCGCTTTTCGAAAGTAAATGTGGAAACCGTGAGGAAAAGATTCTTTTAATTTTTTTTTTCTTTTTATTCTTACCTTATTTTTTCTTTTTGGAAATTATTGTAACTACTGTAGTACAGTATTTTTTATTATTTTTTATTTCTTTATTCTTAGTTTTATTTTCGGTTTTTACTGTTTGCAAGTAAATGTAGTGTTCATTTCCGGTAGTCGAAGTATTTGAATGGAGTATGGTACGTGGTATAGTAATTACGTTCGATGCAATTACAAGTAGGAAGGGACGAATTCGTTGCGCCTTTTGCAATTACGATATCTAGTAATTCCTGTAATTATGTCGAATACGAATGTTCATCTTTGCAAATTGAATACGAAATTATTATTTTTATTATTATTAATTATAAATTATTATTAATTATTATTTTATGTCTGAGTAAGTTCAGGGAAAATGAGGAAATGAGGATATTTATTATTAAAAATGGTTGAGTTATTTTAGACTAAATATTAGTTTTTAAAACGTAAGCAGAAATAGCAATGTCAAATAAAATAAAAATATACACCAAGGAGTCCTTTTGCATAATTTATTTTTACATATGGTTTTTTTAATGTTTTATCCAATTTTACACAATTTTCTTGATACATAAGATAATTATTTTTGTCTTCAATCTAAGAAATAGTCAAACATTCAAAAATCAACTGTAATATTATCATCCATATTTTAATATTTAATTCTTCTTTACATAAATTATTTCAGTTTTCTATAGTTTGAATTATTTAATTTTTTTATAATTAAGTTATTTAAGCTTTCTATAGTTAAAATTATTTAATCCTTCTATAGTTAAGTTATTTAAATTCTCTATAGTTTAAATTATTTAATTCTTCTATAGTTAAGTTATTTAAGTTTTCTATAGTTTAAATTATTTGATTTTTCTCCACTTCCCTTTAGTTTAGTAGAAGTTTTGTATTTTGTTGAAAATCAATTATTTTACAACTTTTTACACGTCTTTTTTTAAACTGTTAAATTGTTAAAATTAATATAAATGAACATTCGAATTCGGTATTTTTGAAAACAAAATTTTATGCCGACGTCCTTTTTTATTAAATAAATTAAAAAATTAGTCAATAAGATGAATTCAATGTTTATGGGAATAAATACAATTTTGCATTTTATTTGCAAATAATAAGTTTTAAATATTTCATCACGTGATATGCTTTCACCTTGTTATAGAAGAATTTGTTAAACGTCGATGTCAACATAAAATGCTGACTTAATGTCCAAGACATTCTCGATATTCAATATGCGGAATTTAAAAAGAATTCAAATGGCTAGAGTATGTAAATACTTTGTTATGCCTTTACACATGATCGCCTCTCAGATATTCATTTTCCTACATCCTACATGGTATAAAGAATTACGTAAAGCGTAATGTCTAATAAAATACCTAGTTGTGTAATATCTTTTCTTTATTTTTCATTTTACCTTAATTTAAGTGTAAATTTTTATTTTTCTTAAATTTAAAGATTAAGAATATGTAAAAAGTACTTATCGCGTACTTATTATTATTTTTAAATTATTTATGATAGTTTGACCAAGAAAATTTATGTAAAATGTTGATTCATTGTTAACCATTGATAATTGATAGTAATCATGTTAAAACTAACGTAATACGTAATTCAAGAGACAAAGTTATCTTCATTTTTTTAAATAGACTCGAATTTCTCTTTTTTGATATAAGGTAGATGGATTTTACAATAATAATTAATTAATAAATAATCTAATTATTTCTGTTTTTTAAATATATCATTTTACTTTTAAATTTGGAACTATTATTTAAAACCTCTCTAAATGTAGCAATAATATAAAAATATAATAAAGTTTTATTCTTGAAATTGTCACAAATAGTACAATAATAGATTTTCTTGATAAATATTTCTTTGATTTTAATTATTGTAGCTATCACAAGTAGTATTATTGGTAAAGGATGTTTAAATAAATTTTGTATTATTTCTTGTTAAATCATCTTCATTAACATTTATTAAATCGTTTATTTACTAACGATTTATAATAATAAATTATTATTTTATTTTATTTTTAATTATTTGATTTGAAAATCTAAATTTCACGATTTATCGTTCCATTGTTAAAATATTAAAATATCGTTTGATTCAAATATTACAATTTATCATTAATTGCGATTTTGTATAGATTATTTCCAGTCTATCTTAGTACTCTATTATCGATGGCATTTTCCTTTGATTTATTCTCCAATTAAACATCATCAATCTTGAATTCTCGATGCTTGAATTCCTGCAAATGCTAAACTCATATCTCTGACAATAATGATAGAACATTTTTCGAATTTAAAGTGATAAAAAGGTTAGGCAAATATTTCAATGATTTATAACGACAAATAGCGAAATTGCAATAATATTTTTGTAGGATATTATATTGATATTCAACATAAGTGTATTACAAATTTGTTTCTTTTTATTGTTATTACATTTTATATTTTATTATTTTTACTGTGATTAAAAACAGTTCAGTTGCCTGATTTTTGACAAAATTAATTTCTACTTTCGTTTAAAAATTAAATTATATTAAAATTAAATTAAAATTAAATTTAAAATAAATAAAATATCAAATTAAATTATTACTTATTCCGATTATAGCACTTCAATTATTATTATACAGGATGAAGAAAATGAGTTTACGATTTCTAGATCAACGGATATTGTCACCAAATCGAAATAACACATACAGTTAAAAAATCAGATAAACACGAATCACTATACTTATGTTACCAAAAAATATTATAAATAACGAAGATTGTATCTGGTTACAAACGACCAATATAAATAAAAATTATTTACGACTATGAATAATCATTATCGATGACGAGAATATTGGTTAGTTAAAACTAACAATCATAATTAACAGGAATAACTTTTAATTATGAATAACCATTATCGAATATTATGGCAGTTGCGAGTAATCACTATCGATCACCAGAATTTTATACTGATTACCTAGGACCCAGAATCTGATGAATTGGTAACCAGAACGCATAAAAATGAACTTTTCTTAATCCTTGCCTTTTTTATGGTTTCTTTAAAATTTAATAACGATCACCCTTTATGCGAATAAAAATAAATTTTTTATCGGTAATTTTATCTCGATAAATTTCTGACATAACTGTTATCTTTACTCTCTGTCGTAAATAATTCCTTTTTCCGTTACACGAGTGACTTGTACCGTATGGAAACGACTGGGGAATTTCTCATTTCCCCTTTTCTCGGTTACAAAAGATTTTCCACGCGTTCTCTCTTCATTTCCATATATTTCTGTCAATTCCACGTATTCCATTCATTTTTGTCAACGAATTACATTACCCTTCTAAAAATACATCAAGTCCATTGCTCGCGAGGCAAACAAGTCGCTTGCTTAACCAGAAACGAAAAATTATAAATGTCAGGTAGCCAAATAAACAATGTCGTTTTCGCATTTTTATTCGCATTTCAAAGAGTGTGATGTTATATTTTTGGATACGTAATATTAAATTTCCGATCCATGTTTATTAACAAGGCGTTCCAGCAACGGTAGTACAACTGAAAAATGCTGATTCTATAGGCAGAAACGAATCGAAAAAGGAAGAATAAAATATTTTGGTTCGAAGTTTCCTTATCGAGAAAATTAACGTTGAAAATTCACCGAGTACACGTGCACTTTGCTATGGCTTACAATTAGACGTATGGACCATTGATACATCAACATCGGTGGTACAACCAGAGAAGAGGTGATTCTAGGTGAAAAAATAAATTGAAAATAAAGAATAAAATTTTTTGATTCGAAACTTCGTGATCGAGAAAATCGACTTTGGATATACACCGAGTACGCTGGTATACTTATAGTCCATTCATCTAAACTATAGCTAAGTATTCACTCGGTGAATATTTAAAATCGATTTTCTCGATAACTAAGCTTCGAATGAAAAAATTTTATTCTTTATTTTCGATTTGTTTTTGCACGTAGAATCACCCCTCCTCGATTGTACCGCCAATTTTGAAGTTTAAATAACGATTTTCCTTGTGCTTTTCGTCCTTTGGGTGGTAAACAAAAATAGAAAGAAACATCAAATTTTGAAATCCTTAGTTCACGTGATAAAGGGACATTCAGTGAAGATCTCCTTCAAATTTCAAGTCAATCGGTCAACTAAAACGCGAGATATCCCTTTAGTCAGTTCTAAAAATACGGTTTCGAGGAAAACGTGTTTGAAGTTTTTGTTACCTGTTGTACAATAGATTTAAACATCTGTAACTTTGCTAATTTTACGGATTCGAACAAATTCTTTTATACGGACATTTTTGAAAGCATACACTTTGAGAAAATGTAAAAAAAATTATAATTTTTTTTAAACCGGATTATAACAATATCCCCTTAAAAAGTGGAGTTAATCATTTTGGCCTATGACTGCCTCATATAATTTTGTGAATATTTGTTATTTACCCCAAAAATTATAAACCTTTTCTTCTTTCACCCTGTAAATGTATGTTATATATTAGACACGCTATATATTTGTAATTTCAGTATTATTGCATTTCGTAATAGTCGAATAACGAACAAAATTTGAAACTCGATCTCCATTTTTTAATTTCGAATTTTTGAAAAATGATATTTTATAATTAATAATATAATATTTATTTCGTTATTGACATGATTAATAATTAAAAACGATACTAATGTTATTTAAGATTGCATCGACCACTCACGAGGATTAATAATAATTAAATAAAGTTACATATATTTATAACTTATCGCATGATTTAATAGACTTCAAATAAATTAGTAATTGCATCAATTCACTATCCTTTATTATTGATAACAAATTGAAATGATTAATTGGATTTATTGAGCTGTTTATATAAGGTGTCTTATTTATACCAAGGTTTTCAGAAATTATTAACCATATTTATACACGTTTTGAATAAAAGTTGAATGATTTCGAGGAAAGCATAATTTGATACTATATAATAATTTGATATTAGCTTTCTGGAGATGAACACATAGTGACGAACAAAAGAAAATTTAAATTAGGCGGTAGGAACACCATAATTTTAGAAGAAAGAATTATATTTTATGACAGCGATAAATTTTACATAAATATAATTATTTTTATTATTTTGCTGTAATTAGTATAAAAGTTACAGATACTGATATGTATAAATTTTAACTTCAAAAATTCTTTTGCCCACCATTGTATATGATAGGCTGTGAATTATAGTGATATTAGTTAATATTATTGTTCATGAAATGGTTTCGTGTTTTCTATAATCAAAAATTAAATATGCTTTTTCCAAATTTTATTTTAATTCTAATTTTCTCTAATTTGTAATCTAATCTAATTGATCTAATCTAATTTGCAAATCTAATTTAATTTATAATCTTCAAATATTTAGTAGAATCTAAAATTTTATGCTTATGCTGACAATTATGAAACTGACCTAATTGCGAGTCAAGTATTTAAAAAAAAATTAATTTTTCGATTATTTTGTATTAATTGTAAATATTATGAACATATATAATTAATATATTTATTTTACAATAATTTAAAATTATTTTTGCAAAGTAACGAAAAGTTAGGATTATTAATTTATGGTAGTGCTCTAAACAATTTCTTAATTTATCAAAATTCAAAACTTCTAATATCTCGAAACATGGATACATCTGTGAATATTAAATTTAAAAAAATAATAAACGATTGATATTTATTTATTTAATTCTTCCACTATGAATTTATCTTTGTATGCAATCGACCATTATAATAAGTAATACAAAAACAGCTGATCCATCTTTTATTTTTATCAATTTATTATTAGTAATATCGATAAATTATTCGTCTGGCAATTTAAAATTTTGAACAGGCGATATTTCATACTGGAATGACCGATTGGCATATTAATCCTTAGTCCTTAATCCTTTCACTATGAAAGGTCACTATAATTGATAACACAGGGACAGTTACTTCATCATATATACCTCCTAATTTATTATTAATTTCATTACTTAATTATTCCCTTGCTAATTTTAAATTAAAAAAAATAAAAAATAAAAATGACATTCCACATATATAAGCTTAATAAATTTTTAATTTTTAATTTTTTCGCTACGAGGTATCATTATAACAAACAGCACAAGGACAACCAGTTCAACTCATATTTCTTTCATCTTAATATTAATATTATTGCTAAATTATTCATCTATTAATTTCAACTTGTTAAAGAACTTTGAATTTCGTATGACTTAATAAATCTTCAAACTTTATTTATCTGACTGTAGGTCACTGTAGGCAGCTTAGAAATATAGCCAGTTACAATAAAATTATATTTGTTACAGTAAACATGATTACTATCGCAATTGCTAAATTTAAATGGTCAATTTAAAATTTTGAGAGAATGAAATCACTTAAATTTACTATGATCTGCTATTAACCCCTTGCATTACGACTATAACGAGTCTAGCTTGTCATGAGTTTCTCCTGTCAACCATACAAAGATATATGTATTACTTTCGACATGTATTACTTCAGTCAAACTGTACTTAACACGTTTAAAATAAATAAAGTTCACACGAATTTTACAAACTTTTATTATTTTATTCTTAACGAAATAAATATATCGCGGTTACCTAAAATGAAATTCTTCTCCAATGTAATATTTCTTATAATTACATCGTGGTGTAAAGGGTTAACATCATTGTTAAACTATAATAATTTCTAACTTGAACAAAGTTGATTTCTATTCACATTTTTATCGATTTTGATATGAATCACGGTGATGCAGAAGTAGTCGCTGCAGTAGTTAAACCCGCAACACCTACTCCATTCTAAAATTTACTTCCGAATTATTATTGATTATAAATTATTATTAATTTCACTACCGAACTTGCCATCCAGCAGTCTCAAACTTGAAGAAAGTTGATTTCCGTTCACATTTTTATCCCTTTTGCTATGAATCACGGTGATGCAGAAGTAGTCGCTGCAGTAGTTAAACCCACAATCACCTACTCCATTCTAAAATTTACTCCCGAATTATTATAAGTTAAAAATTATTATTAATCTCCCTCCATCAAACAGTTTCAATCTTCGAAGAAAATTAATTTCCATTCGCATTTTTATCCCGTTTGCTATGAATCACGGTGATGCAGAAGTAGTCGCTGCAGTAGTTAAATCCACGGATGCCTACCTCATTTTAAAATTTGTTCCCGAATTATTATTAATTATAAATTACTATTAATCTCGCTACCAAACATGTCATCCAGCAGTTTCAAACTTGAAGAAAGTTGATTTCCATTCGCCTTTTTATCCCTCACGTTATGAATCACGGTGATGCAGAAGTAGTCGCTGCAATAGTTAAACCCACGGACGCCTACTCCGTTTTAAAATTGACTCCCGAATTACCATTAATTATAAATTATTATTAATCTCGCTCCATCCACCAGTTTCAAACTTGAAAGAAGCATTTCACAATCGCCAACCCACCACTTCCTTTTTATTACTCTCTTACATCATACTCGCCTATTATACACACACTTTCTCCCCTCCACTGCCATTGCTCGTAACCCTACTTGAAAACAAATTGGCATTACCATATCTGCTCTTTCGACACCTCTCGGTTTCTCAATTTCTCTCTCTCTCTTTCTCTTACAGTTGTACTTGCAATTAAGGATGACATGGCAGGATAACAAGCTGCTGAAACACCTCCTGCAACTAGCGTGCCTGATTATGGCCTGGTTCACCGCATTGTCACGAGTCTCTGATTACAAGCACCATTGGAGCGATGTTCTAGCCGGAGCGACCCTTGGTACCATCATAGCGCTGGTCGTGGTGAGCGTTACTCTCCTTAACTATCCTATTGTGCGACCATAAATTACACGCGATCATGAATATGAAATATGCGATGCACCGAGCACTGCGACTTTTACGACCTCTGCTGGCCGCCTTCGTGCAAGCTAATCGGAGATACCTGGCTACAGAGTACGCGCTCGATACAAAATGGCGGCTGCCAGTTGGGCTCAGCCGAATAACTGCGCTGAAATTGGAACTGAAATTGGCGCTAGGAGTTATTAGTCGTCGTTAATTTCGCGATCAAGTGTACCGATTGTGTAGCAGCGATTGGTATGTATCATGGGATTGTTCCGTGATTCGTGACGAGCATCTAGTGGTGGGTTGATTAGGTTAGGTGATGGATCGATGGGAATTCAAATGCAGTTATGAAATGGGCGACGTTTGTTTGCGAGAGTTATGGTTTGGCAGAATGATCGTTGATTGGTTGATATTATAAACGGTGGATATTAATTATGGGAAATTAAATAAATTAGGCTTCCTCTTTGGGCTGATTGTGAACTTATAGCAATAGAATAGACATTTTTGTTGGAATTTTCTTTACTGCTTTATGGTCTGTTATTAAATAGTAGAATATGGGATGTTATATTTCGTTAATGGTGTAATTTATTTTCTTTTCTGCTTTATGGTTTGTTGTTGAAGTAGTAGAATAAGGATTGTTATATTTTGTTAAGAAAGTAATTTATTTTCTTTCCTGTTTTATGGTTTGTTGTTGAAGTAGTAGAATAAGGATTGGTATATTTTGTTAAAAAAATAATTTATTTTCTTTCCTGTTTTACGGTTTATTGAAATAGTAGAATGTGGGATGTTATATTTTGTTAAGAATGTAATTTATTTTCTTTCCTGTTTTATGGTTTGTTATTGAAATAGTAGAATATGGGATGTTATATTTTATTTAAAAAGTAATTTATTTTCTTTCCTGTTTTATGGTCTGTTATTGAAACAGTAGAGTATGGGATGTTATATTTTGTTACTGGTATAATTTATTTTCTTTCCTGTTTTATGGTCTGTTATTGAAATAGTAGAATATGGGATGTTATATTTTGTTACTGGTGTAATTTATTTTGTTTCCTGTTTTATGGTCTGTTATTGAAATAATAGGATATGGGATGTTATATTTTATTAATGGTGTAATTTATTTTCTTTCTTGTTTTATGGTTTGTTATTGAAATAGTAGAATATGGGATGTTATATTTTGTTAAGGGAGTAATTTATGAAACAAGGAAGACATTTTTGACTCTTCTTCTGGAGTGGGTTGTGTGTGTGTTTTACATAGTGACAGCTTAGAAATATTTGTTGAAATTTTCTTGAAATTTCTTTTTCTGTTTTATGATTAATTAGTTATTGAAGTAACTGGATACAAGTTACTATATTTTGTAAAGGAAATAATTTATAGAATAAGGAAGGTTAGGTTTCACCTATGTGAGTACTTAGCTATAGTTAAGATGCATGGTGTATCAGTATACTAGCGTACTCGGTGTACATTCAAAGTCGATTTTCTCGGCAAGGCAGCTTTAAATGAAAAAATTTTATTCCTCATTTTTAATGTGTCTTTTCATATAGAATCACTTCCTTCCCAATTGTACTATAGTTGCTGGGACACCCTGTATAAGGTGATTAAAATACACTTCCTCTCTTGTGACATATTTACTTAACGGTAGTCAGAGCGAGAAAAACCCACGATTTATAATGAAATTTCGAATTTATAATACATAAGAGATATCGCGATTATTACAATCTCTAACAGTTGAATCCATTTGATTCTACGATACATATTAACACTTTCAAGTCGAATCCCTGGATATTCCCACAAAGCCATTGCTACCACCGCAGTCGCGTGCCGAGATATTCCAGGCACGAGCATGAAAGAGACATTTAGGCGATAAAACATTACATTGCTTATCTTATCGCACTACGTATCAATACTACGTACTGTGCGTTGCAGACAAGAAGTCCGCTGTTTCGGTACAGGGGCAAGGGGAGTATTTCACTCGCTCTGTCTAACATGCCCTCTCGTAGTCACCACTCTTCTATGACAATACTAAAATCACTACCTTCAGGTTCGGTAACGTTACACGTTAACATAGGCGTAAGGTATCCGTAAAATTTTTCAACAGTCAAGCCTTCTATAACACGGTGCATTTATATCGCTATTTCCATATAACGCGGAGCGAAAATTGCAACACTCTCCTATAACGCGGTCTCCTGGAACAACATTCCAACAACTAAAATGGCTTGAAAAATTTATCTATGGCAGCACTTATTCGATGTGTTCAACTTTTGTATGAAGTTGACATTTATAAGGAATTAATTGATGAGTCTACCTCAAATGCATTAGTGGAAGAAAACACGGATAACGAATTCGTTTCAAACTTCAGTTATGATGTAAAAAGAGGGCTGGATTTGACTAAACAATTAGAACGTCGCTTAACTCGAAATAAAAATTTAAAAGAGAATTTTAAAATTGCTTGGCTCCATATAAAGAGGGTTCGGAAGAACTACAAAATAAAACTGCATTTGAAAACCAAGAAGAAAATTTGCAAAGCGAGGAGGATTTTCGGCCAATTAGAAAAAAAGGGTTAGACTGCAAATATTTGACAGTGATGATGAATAATAAAACAATCTAATTGTGGTATTCTCGATGTATGAACCACATGATAAGAATGTCTGAATTCTGGTCGGACTGAAACGGTCTCATGAGAGTGTTTGAGAATAAAACATTTGTTTCAGAAATAAATATAAATAAGAAGAAATATGGAATAACATTGATGGATAAGAGAACTTACGATAGAAAAGATTTTAATAAGGGTTTTGATAGGCACCCAAAAGATAATTATATAAAACAAAGTAATAAACCGTTTAATTTTAACACGTTGGAATCCTATTTTAAATTAGGATGCGTCACTAATGTCTATCAAATTAAGTTTTTTTGTTGGAAACAATTTTTTTAGTTTATAATTTTACTATACGAACTATGTATCGTATTCGATAAACCTAAATTCAAATATGTAAAAATGTACATATTCGTTGCCATTTGTATTATAAAATTTGATTTATTAATCGTATCGATCGCAACTTGATATTTTGAGAATGCAATTTTTATATAGGTCTGATTTATGTACAATTTATTTACTTCTGAGATTCCATATAACGCGGTACTAATTTGTTCAATTTGTATTATTTCTGAGTTACTTATGGTACCTATATAACGCAGCAGTGGTTTCCATATAACGCGGTATAAATTGATCTGATTTTTCTTATTTCTATGTTTATCATAACGCGGTTTCCATGGAACGCATTTCCTTATTCCAGTTAATTCTGATTTTCTTATAACACGGTTTCCATATACCGCGATAGAAATTAATCGCGTTATAAGAGACTGGACTGTATTAGTCCGACCCTCGATTATTATTAAAATTATTAGAATTTTTAATAGAATTATTATTATTTTAATTATTGATAGAATTGCTATTAAAATTATTATTAAGATTATTATCAAAATTATTATCAAAATATTATTAAAATTATTAAAATTGTTGATAGAAATATTATTAAAATTGTTGTTAGGGTTGTTATTGAAGCTGTTATCAAAATCGTCATTAGAATTATTATTAAAAGTATTACTAGAATCATTATTAAAATTACTATTCAGAGTATGAATATTGTTATTAAAATTGATTTAGACAGTCACTCTAATCTAACCGGTTAATCATTCTGTTTTCATTATTCAATCACTGTATTCTCATAATTAAATAATTAACATATCAGGTTTGGCCAATATTTTCTGCTTTAAATATATTATGTATATTTTCTTGCCAAACAACTCAGTTTTATACACGTTGATATATTTCGCAAATACGATTTTGTAAATACAGTCTCAGCAGTGAAGTAAGATGTTGTTAATATATCTTTGAGTTTAATAAGCATTATTTTTTTCATTTATTGTCATTACTTTTGAATATTCAACAATAGTGAACAATTCGTAAAGAAATCTTTGTAAATTGCTTTAATATTGGTAAAAGATAGTAGGAAGTAACAAACAATTCAAAACTAATGGAATTTAATGATCATTGAACATAATAATCATTGTTCATATTTCATTGCTTATATTTCATTTACTTATTTCTCATAATAAAGGAAGAAAAGTTAATCAAAGCTTAATATCTTTTTTTCTAAAAATTAAGAATTGTATTTTTCTTTTTAAATTTTTATATTTATAGATCCGAATAATTTGAGTTTAAGATATTTAAAGTCTTTTTTTCTTCAATTATAAACTTTTTTCATCAAATATCAATTTTTATTTCCAAAAAGGATTAAAAACTAATCACCAATTATATTTTATTTTATTTTATTTTACTTTTCTATTACTTCCACGCTTTTATTTTTTTTAATTTTTTTTTTTAATTTAAAACGATTTCTCATTTTTTACTATTTTTATTTTCCATATTTTATTTCTCAAATTCTATTTTATTTCACATTTTTAATTATTTTCATTTTCCAAATTCTACCGATAAAATTCAATTTCATATTTTACCCCATAATTATTACGAAAATTTATCGTTAATATCGATTATTAAATTTCAATACTGTTATTCGAGATACTTAATATTTTATTAATCATTTTTCTGAACGACCCTTTAATAATAATATTCTCATTTTTCTTCGTTCCAAATAATCGAGAACAATCATGTAATTATCTTTAATGGCCCTTACCTTCGGCCATATTAATTCATTTATCCATAAAGACCTTATCCACAGATTCCTTAATTTAAATCATAAAAATGGTTAATAAGAATCATTATGCTGACCTACTTGATAAACTCTATTGTAGTTAATTAAATATCATCTGAAGCTTTTTGTCCACTGTAATTTTACAAAACCTGTACAGAGTGTGCCATTTAAATAGATACAGCCAAGATTCTTATGAAGCATTGATAAAAAAAAATCTGAATTTAGTATGTTTTTGAAAACATGTTTCACAG